ATTGTTCAAAAGAAAGGCATATATAGGCGTATAAAAAGAGGGGATGGACAGCTAAGAAATCAATATAGTAATTAAAGAGAGAAGAAAGATTAGGACAAGGTAGGCCAACTTAAGAGAAACTCGGGTCAGAACACTGACAATGATAAGGAAATGAGAACTTTTCAACACTTACTTCCTCTCAGTTTTTACTCAGGAAGATGCTAGCGAAATTCCAGAAATAATAAATTATGTAGAACAGAACGATATTAAACTATGCATGATTGGGATAACTAGTGACATGGTCCTCAGACAAATAGAGAAATTAAAACTTAACAGATCTCCAGGCCCTGATGAACTGTTTGCAAGGGTTTTAAAGGAATGTAAAGAGGAACTTAGCATATCTTTGGCTAATCTTTTCAATAAATCACTACAAACTGGCATAGTGCCTGATAAGTGGAAAATGGCAAATGTAATACCTATTTACAAGGCAGGTGACAGGTGCTTGGCTTCGAACTATAGACCAATAAGCCTTACCTCCATAGTGGGAAAATTTATGGAATCAATAATTGTCGAATCAATTCGTAGTCATCTTGACAGGCATAAATTGATTAATGAATCTCAGCACAGCTTTACAAAAGGGCGTTCCTGTCTTACGAATTTACTATCTTTTTTTTACTAAGGTATTTGAGGAGGTAGATCATGGTGTTGAATATGAGATTGTGTATATGGACTTCAGTAAGGTTTTCAATAGAGTTCCACATCAGAGGAAACTTAGTGCACACAGAAGAGGAGGAGAAATTGTTCCTGGGTAGAGGCATGGTTGACCAATAGGCAGCAGAGAGTTTGCATAAATGGGGAGAAATCAGAATGGGGGCACATCACAAGCGGTGTTCCACAAGCGTCAGTATTGGGCCCCTTGTTGTTCACAATTTACATAAATGCCATAGATGAGGGAATAAATAGTTACATGAGCAAGTTTGCCGGTGACACCAAATTAAGCCATTCAATTCATTCTAATGAGGATATTAGAGCACTCCAGGATGATTTGAATAGACTGATGCAGTGGTCAGAAAAGTGGCAGATGCAGTTTAATGTAGACAAATGCAAACTTCTAAATGTTGGACAGGAAAATAAGCATGCTACATATAAACTAAATATTTTAGATCTTAATATTGCTGATTGCAAAAAGGATTTAGGAGTTCTGGTTAGCAGTAATCTGAAACCAAGACAACAATGCGTAAGTGATCGCAATAAAGCTAACTGAATCCTTGGCTGCATATCAAGAAGTATTAATAATTAAACTCCTCAGGTTGTTCTTCAACTCTATATATCTTTCCTTAGGCCTCATTTAGATAATGCTGCACAATTCTGGTCACCGTATTACAGAATGGATATAAATGCACTGGAAAACGTAGAGAGGAGGATGACAAAGTTGATCCCACATATCAGAAATCTTCCCTAAGAGGATAGACTGAGGGCCCTGAATCTGCACTCTTTAGAAAAGCATAGAATTAGGGGGGGATATGACTGAGGTGTATAAATGGAAAAAAAAAAAACGAATAAATATAGGGGATGTAAATAGAATGCTAAAAATATCTAGCCTAGAGAGGTCTCGCAGCAATGGCTTTAAGTTGGAAATATTCAGATTCAGGAAGGATATAGGAAAGCACTGGTTTGGTAATAGAGTTGTAGATGAGTGGGACAAATTCCCGAGTATCGTCATAGAAGCTAAGACTTTTTGTAGTTTTAAAAATAGGTTAGATAAATACATGAGTGGGTGTGGGTGGGTGTGAGTTGGACCTGACTAGCTTGTGCTACTAAGTCAGATGCCGTGCTCCTTCCTTAATAGAATGTGACCTGACCTGACCTGACTAGGTTAGGGCATCGGCTTAAGCCGTGTGGAGAAATTTTCTCCAGGAGGGGGGTATCAGCCCCCTTCAGCCCCTTCAGCCCCTTTCAGCCCTGAGGGGCCCAGACCTCTCAGAAGGGGCAAGCGTCTTGTTTACTGCTACAGTGAGTAATTGATCACAGATGCCGTATGAGTATGCGACCTGTGGTCAACCGACCATTGCTCCTTGCAGTCCAGTGTTGCAGAGTGTATTTTAATAAGAGACAGTACATCTCTTACTTTAGCAGGACAATTAAGGAAAATCCTGCTCCTACTTTGTTACCATAGTAAAGATAGTGGACATTGTTGTCTATGCTTAAGACAGCAAGAATCAAACCTTCTGCTTTGCTTCATCGAGGAAGTGGCAAGGAAGCAAAAAGTACTAGGTCAGCTTTTTTTTGTGCAAGGGGAGTGACGGCATGGGGCGCTGTGGCATCTTCAGATTACTTTTGACTCTACTGAGAGTGACACTGACACCAGGATAACCAACAAAGAACGATCTGTGCATTAGTGTGAACAAAGTGTCTCACAAAACACAATAAACACTTAAGAGAAGTGTGATCAGCTTCTCTTGTGATAAGATTGTGAACAATAAAGACAAATCTGGTGGAACATAGTGTACCAGTGTGCGTTTCCTAGACAATGGAAGACGTGGACATCCAAGGACACTTCAGCTTCTATCAAGTCACCGATACCTGTCGAAGGTGTGAAGAACACCATAGCTCACGTTACAAGAGCAAGGTATGTTACGAATTTCTTGTAGTACGGGGGACTGCACAGTTCTTGAGTCGCAAGGAGTTTGTAATCAACCTATAGTCGGCAGTAAGGTGTGGACTTTTGAGTCCAAACAAGTATGTATTTTGTCAGCCATCAGTGAATGAAATATGCTGACATAACACCCCCTAGGGGTAATTTATAATCTTACAAATTATAATTCTTGACAGCCCGTTGTGAGATGGTTTCGACAGCTTCTAGACCTCGTCTGCAGGGGCGGCTGTGCAGGCGATGAGTTGTCTTTAAGTTAAGTTTTCACTGTTTAAACTTAGCTGGTAATGCCATTTCTCAACAAGCCGGTAGGAAAATTGGACCTACCTCGCATGGGCCAGTAGGCCTGCCACAGTGTTCCTTCTTTCTTATGTTCTTGTGTTCTACTACTACTACTACTACCACCATTACTACTAATACTTCTTCTTTCACTTCGTCATGACTTTTTAATACTCGAAGTTGGAGCAAAACGTTGGACCGTCTTCTTAATGAGCATTTTGGCTATTAATTGCTGCTAATAGTGGTCTTCTATTTGTGTCGTCTACATCATCATCGAGAAGTTAAACATCAATAGTGGCAGAACAAGCAAGTTCTGGGAAGTTTCCCTTGAAGTAGAGCTTGACTAAGTATGTCTTGAAAAAGCTTCGCACAGATCAAAACCTTGTCCCCTGAAAAGCTCATGGGTCGGAGCGTGGAGAGAAAAAAAAACCTCAAAAAATATGAAAATTGAGTTATTGTTACCGAAAAATAACTGAACTTTCTGGCAACACTCTGGTATAATTATTATCCTCGTACGATGCTTCTAAAAGGAATTACAGCCATTTATAACAGGCATGGTGACAGCACTTTGCGTAATATTGCGTACCAAGCGCTGACGCGGCATTGTTTATGTTTTTCCCCGGTGTTATTTTTATCCTTTTCTTATATCTTTATGTCTAGTATAATACAAATTCACTGTCTGAGATCATGGCAGAGTGGGCGGAGATAATATGATCAAGTAACCAATCAGGTACCCTGGGAATATTGCATAAAATGGCCGACATCTCCAGCCAACAAAATATTCCATACCCACGCTAATATCAATTATAAGGCTTATTTATCTATCACAATTGATCTATTATGACATAACGCAATATAATAATAGCATATAAACATAAAAAGTACACCTTAAAAAATAATATATAGCATAATATGATGCCCCGACGAAAAAATTTCTATCGATATTTGCCCTGAAGGTGAAGAAAGGGTCCGTTCTCTCATATGTGATGAGAGAAAACGGAGATTTACAATGGTTAACTGTAATAAACACTCGTAGGTCACGGAAAAAGTAAAATAAAGGGAATTTTTCGGGGAAAAAAATATTTCCCGGGCACCTGGGGTGCTGCGCGCTTCGGCCAATATCTCGAAAGTAAGTTATTTACCTATTTAGGGGCACTCCATCCTTATTTATGAAGGAATTGGCTTGATTTTCACAACAAACATAGAAGAATGATTGCTTTACAAGTTGACAGGTACCTTTCTGAAGTATCCCAAATATTTTCAGATTTGTGTGGACAACAAGACCGACATCTTCCAAAATGTCAAAAAAGTTATTAAACTTTATTTTTTTTTAGCATGAAGATAAGATTTATTATATAATTGGGGCCTCACAAATGATGGAATTAGAAGTGTTCTATCAGCAGAAAGTGTCAAAACCACTTTTCCAAGTACCACTGAGTACTTGAGTACTGCCAAATGTAATTTTTCGTAAATTTTGCATATTTCATTTCCTTTTTGGCCGATATGATTGAAACTTCAGCAAAGGCTCTTTAATATAAGCTTCTAATAGTACACCAAAAATGAATGTAATCGGTTCATAAATAAAGAAGTCGAGTCCGTCCCATGACCCGCCCCTTCACTTCAGTAACGTAAGCAATACGTTAGCATCTTCAAACTATGGAACGGGTGGGGCATGAACCCATGGCAAGGAAGCTGGGAAACTCCAGGCCAGTGCATAAGCCAGTTGGCCCAGTGGCTTACGCACTGGCCTGGAGTTTTACCACTCATTCGCCATGGGTTCAAACCCTACCTGTTCCATGTGTTGTTTACAGCCGTGTTACGGTTTCGTGATTCATCTTGATATTGTACATATCATGATAAAAGAAAGATAATTTACTGACCAGTCTTGTCACTTTAACTCTGGAGTTTCCTCCTCATCTACTTTGCCTTGTCTTTCATATAATATTTGATTTATTGAATAATTTTCACTAATATTTGTGAGTTAATTTTACTGTGAGGTTCAGTGTTATGGATCTGTCAGTGTCTACATGCACGTTTTAGCGCCTAGTTTTGTATTAGTGTTGTATTTGCAGTGTTGATATTGATAAGTTGCCGATGTTGATGCTGGTGTTTGTTCTCACCTAAACGTTCATAAGTACGAGTGTAGAAGTGTGAACACACAAGCAAGAAGTTGTATATACCGAGCCACCACTAATTTCCTCTTAACTACCATTAACAGTTATACGTTTGGTCAACCTGTGAAGGGCAACCTCTCGCTAACAGTCAACAACAATCAGAGGAAGAAATGTAAAGTCAGTGTCACTCACAATGTTACTGTAAGTACCTGACACCCAAGTTACTACATCTGTTGTTAAAGTACAACTTTATTTTTACTACCAACTTTATCAACGTTTTCGTTAACTATATCTACTTCTACTAATTCTACTTTCACTCTTTCTGATTTTACTTTTAAGTAGACTTTTCTACTTTACCAACTACTGCTTAACTTTCACCTACTACTACGTTTTTCTATCGTATCTTCTACTACGACATCTAATGTTCTTTAATAAAAACTTCAACTACCAGTATATTTCCTTTACTACTTATAAAGTTCCATACTTTTGTCTTTGTAAAATTAATTCTACTGTTTCTGGTAATACTATTACTAGTACTGCTGCTTCTGGTAATACTATTACTAGTACTGCTGCTTCTGGTAATGCTATTACTAGTACTGCTGCTTCTGGTAATACTATTACTAGTGCTGCTGCTTCTGGTAATGCTATTACTAGTACTGCTGCTTCTGGTAATATTATTACTAGTGCTGCTGCTTCTGTTAATACTATTACTAGTACTGCTGCTTCTGGTAATACTATTACTAGTACTGCTGCTTCTGGTAATACTATTACTAGTACTGCTGCTTCTGGTAATATTATTACTAGTGCTGCTGCTTCTGGTAATACTATTACTAGTGCTGCTGCTTCTGGTAATACTATTACTAGTACTGTTGCTTCTGGTAATACTATTACTAGTACTGCTACTTCTGGTAATACTATTACTAGTGCTGCTGCTTCTGGTAATACTATTACTAGTACTGCTGCTTCTGGAAATACTATTACTAGTGCTCCTGCTTCTGGTAATACTATTACTAGTACTGCTGCTTCTGGTAATACTATTACTAGTACTGCTGCTTCTGGTAATACTATTACTAGTGCTGCTGCTTCTGGTAATACTATTACTAGTATTGCTGCTTCTGGTAATACTATTACTAGTACTGCTGCTTCTGGTAATACTATTACTAGTGCTGCTGCTTCTGGTAATACTATTACTAGTGCTGCTGCTTCTGGTAATACTATTACTAGTACTGCTGCTTCTGGTAATACTATTACTAGTACTGCTGCTTCTGGTAATACTATTACTAGTGCTGCTGCTACTATTGATATATCTTGTAATTCTTCTTCTTCTTCTTCTGTTTTCTTTCACTTCTACTTTATCTTTCATTACTCTTACTTAAAATTAATCTCTCTTTACAACTTGTGCTGAGTCTACAGATTATGTTTTCTACTACAACATCAATTTTCTTTGCACTGCTTTTTTTTTCTAATATTCACATTAATTTTATTAGTACTAATACATTTCCTCTAATCACTTTTATTTATACTTATGCTAACATTACTTCCACCGCTACTGTTACTATTGTTTGCTCCTGAGGTACAATTTCTACTTTAAATATTTCTAACATATTTTTTAGTGTGTTTATTTTTTTATGTTAGATATTTCCTTCTTTGTCACTGTAAGTTTATATTCCATGAGGTACCCATGGGTAAGGCGAGTATGGCCAATGCAGAGCCGGGAGAGAGCAGTCTCCAGAGTACGGCAACGATGGTAAGAAGATGGCCACAAACCTGAAAGCGGTTATGGTGCATGCCCGACCACCATTGTTGCCAACGTCCGCCAAGACGAGCAGAGATGCCTGAAAAATAATCCCTGAACGGTATACCTCTATAGGAAACCGGAAGCTCTTATACCGCTGAGCACACAGCAGCAGTATCCGCTGGTTCGTTGCCCTGCACATCAACGTGTCCAAGGACCCAACAGAAAACTGTCTTTGTTCTTGCTAGCCACACGGGGCAACCATAGTTGAATGCGAAGGACTGAAGGATGAAGGGAATCAAATTGTATAATGGCTTGTAAGGCACTGAAGGAATCTGAAATGATCACAAACGTCGAAGGAGACATGTAATTCAGAGAAACGTAATGAGGATGATATACAACTCCGTGGTATAAATAGCAGCCGAGTCTAACAAATGTCCTCAGACAACATTGTCAGAGAACACTGCCGCAAACCCAACACCATCAGATGATTCGGAACCATCTGTATAAACAGCAACGGCATGAGCATGCGGTCGTAAGTTGCCACCAAAGAAGAAATGTGAGGTTTCCATGTCAACATGACCATATCACATTCTGGAATATGTGAGCCACATAAACACAATGGAATATATGGGATAAGGGGACGTCTAGTGAAGGTAATGAAATGGGTTTTTGTACTAGAAAATTTAAAGCCATGAGAAGTGGTCCAATGAGAAACTCGGTAAATCGCCTCCTGAAGGGAGGCTGCTAATAGGCGACAGTCAGTGCCTGAGAACGCTAAAGTGAAATTATCTACTTAAAGTGACGACCAAATATGCGATGGAAAAATGGAAGGTAGGTCATTTATAGCTAGGAGAAAAAGAGAAGTGCTGAGGACACAACCTTGTGGGACTCCCTCGGCTTGTACAAAGTCTAAGGAAAGTGAGGCGCCTTCACGGAACAGAAAATGTGTCACATAAGAAAGCAGCAAGGAAGGTTGGTAGATTACCTCGGAGGCCTAAGAAATGGTCTTTGGCTAAAATGCTATACCTCCAAGCGGTGTCATATACCTTCTCAAGATCCTAAAAGACTCCTAGGATGGAGTGTTTTTTTTTAGCAAAGGCATTTCGCAAATATGTATTTAAGTGGAGCCGGGGTCCAAAGTAGAGTGGCCCTTGCGAAAGCCATATTGGCGATGGGAAGACTATTGTGAGTCTCCAAGAACAATAACAGGCGTCTATTCACCAATCGTTCCATCACTTTGCAGACTACACTGGTCAGGGCAATGGAACGATAGTGAGAGGTATCAAGCCTCGAGGTGCCTGGTTTGCGAAAAGGTAGTACGATGCAGCTTTCAATTGTTGAGGGAGAACCCCTCGTGCCCAAATAAGATTGAAAAGACGCAAAAGGACTGGAAGGGCCGTAGAATGCAGATGTTGTAGCATACTGTAATGAATATCAAATCCACGACTTCAAGGGTGATGGACTGATTACATCTTCTTTACATCTCTACTGCTCCTGCCTACTTTCTGTACTCGACTGAAGAAGCCTACTGTGTAGGCGAAACGTTTCGGAATAAAGTTGCCTAAATGTTGCCTATGTGTCTTATCTACCAACCTGTCGGTATTGTATACCATTTGATAATCACTCAGTCAGACACTGCAACACAATGGCATCTTGGTACAGAAGAGAAAACACCTTGGACAACTTTTTTAAGTGAGAATTGTTTGATCTGAGAGGGACATGACCTCTCAGTGGCTACATTCCCACTACTAGTACTCTGCACATCTCCTTCCGACAGTATTTAAGTCTCAACACTGTCGCTTGATCTTCAGTTAGTTCCAGACTTTGGAACAGAACTTCTCCAGGCTGAGGGACTGACAACCTCAAATCTACGACTTCAAGGGGGATGGAGTGATTACATCGTCTTCACATCTCTACTGCTCCTGCCTACTTACTGTACTCGAGTGAAGAAGTCTACTGTGTAGGCGAAACGTTTCGGAATAAAGTTGCCTAAATGTTGTCTATGCATCTTATCTACCAATATCATCAAGTTCAGCTGCCGACGGCTGGCAAGCGGAAATCGTGGACTCAAGTTCGAGAAGAGTGAAAGGTACGTTATATGGCTCCATTCCATTACAGGAGAAATCACAAGGCAAATACTGTTTGGTAGACTTAGATGGGAGACACTAACCAGATAGTTCCCGATTTCCGTGGCAACTTCAATTGGTTCTACAATCCTAACACCAGCAACCCGCAAAACGGGAGATGGGTCCGGAGTGTATTTGCCGCACAACTTCTGTACCTTCTTCCAAACCGCACATATAGGGTAAGACGAGGGAATGGTAGACATGAAGTTTTGCCAACAAGTACGTTTAGAAACAAACAATACCCCCGGCCGGGATTGAACCCGCGGTCATAGAGTCTCAAAACTCCAGCCCGTCGCGTTAGCCACTAGACCAGCTAGCCACAATAAGATTCATCCAACTAGGTATATTTCTACACCATAGGAAGATTAGCACAGGCACCACTGTGACCACAAATGCATTTGTGGTCACAGTGGTGCCTGTGCTAATCTTCCTATGGTGTAGAAATATACCTAGTTGGATGAATCTTATTGTGTCTAGCTGGTCTAGTGGCTAACGCGACGGCCTGGAGTTTTGAGACTCTATGACCGCGGGTTCAATCCCGGCCGGGGGTATTGTTTGTTTGCAATCGTGTCATTACGATTTCTTGAGTCAAGTACGTTTAGCGTTGCATATGACGCAGCGAGCAACTGCCCTCGCCTGCTTAAAATCTAAAAGACGCTCTTAGGTCTGATTATATTGATAGCCCCACGCAGCACATTTCAAACCTACATGGGCACACGCAGGAGACCACCGAGGCACGTATGTCTGAGAATGCTTGCCTGAAGTTTGAGGAATAGAACGTGTTGCCGCAGTCAAAGCTAAGGTCGAAAACCAGTTCATAAATAGAGGACGAAAGGGGGTCCTCACAAAAGATGATAAGATGAGAGTATAAGTCCCAGTTTGCTCATGCAAATTGCAAATGAGGGCTACGAGGCAGCCAGGAATACATAGTAGGAGTAAGAAGAATAGGAAAGTGATCACTGTTGTGTAAATCCGGAAGAATAGGCCAAGCGTAATCAAGTGCAATTGACAAGGAGCAGATAGAAAGACCATTGCAAAAGAAAGACTGAGTGTGAGTCAAAAAGGGTAGGAGTCCCCTTATTTAAAACATGAGCACGAGAAGCGAGAAGAGTCTCCAACTGATCACCACGAGAGTCACAATCGGACCTTCCCTACAGATGATGGTGAGCGTTAAAATCACCTAACAAGATGGGCAGCTGTAGAGAAGAAATAAAAAACGCAATATACAAGATATAGAATGCACGGGAGGGGGAAAGATGGAAAGATATAGAGAGCAAACTGTATACCATCTGTGTAAATAAATATGAGCTGCAGTATAATACAGCAAAGAATGAGCG